TCCACACGAGGACACACAACAATCCGCTGCCGACAACAAAATAGACGGAAAAAACCAACGCAAACAAGACGTGTCACTTTGAAACTAGGCTTTCTTAATTTTATTTATTTTTTACATTTTGCGTCAAGTGTTTTTGAGAGTCATAAACACGTCGATACATCAGTCTAAAGTTCTGTCAGGCGTGAATACAACTACTTTATCAACGTCCTTCGGGCAAGACTTCTATGCACGGAAACAAGTTCTGCACCTGTGACCAAAGTGCTGAAACAACCAAACGTAAACTGCCGCAATCAATACAGGGCTTCAGGCCAAGGCAGATTCATGGGCTAAGAGGCAGATGGCAGGGGAGGTTCGAGAGGGGGAGGGGTGTATTGGGGATACGGTGGATACTAGCACGCCACAGATGTACTTTATGACTTTATCAGACAGTGAGGGATAGGGGGAGGGTTGACGCAGACGGGGGTCACACGTGAGTGCTAGTGCCGTATGGTCATCGGGGTGGAACATATTTGTCGCCCAACTTTAGAAAGTCATCGATTTCGGTTTGTTTGATAAAACTGCTACTTTATTTTTTTTAAGCGGTCACCGGTCTAACACGGTTTAATGGTGAACATAAAATATATATCTAAACAGCAATCAGGGAACCTGACACGACTTGATGCGTCCTCCAGACAAGGGCATATTGTGAAGCCACCATTACGGTTTTCGAGAACGGCCCGTGAGGACCACTCTGGACAATTAGAATGTAGTTGAAACATTGTTTATTGTGTATTTTTTGAAGAGACGCTATATTTATCTCCCAAAAGATAAGGATGCTTCTCTCGAGTGAAATACACTTCATGCCGGAACACCTTCAGTCTATCTCAGTGACATTAAGATCACGAGTGAGTGAGTGAGTTGGGTTAAACGCCGCTTTTAACAGTATTCCAGTTATTTCACGGCGTGTCAGCTTTATGTGGGAGGAAAGCCCGAAGTGATGCAGGTCTCAGACGTTTACCACTTCGGTGAAACCCACGAGCACGGGTATGGTGCTGACAAACCTATAAACATAATTGGGGCGAACCGGGATTCGAACCCACAATCATAGGTTTCTGGCGTGTTCAAGGGACGCAACTCTGCACAGCGAATCGCGGCGCTTTAGACGACTGGGCCACCCGTGCCCCCTTAAGATCACGAAATCCATGCAAGAAATCCATAAAAAATCGAACATTTCTCAATTTATTATTGTTTATTTTATCAGTCAGTCTATCCTATATAGACCCCTGTTTTTTATTAAAGACACTTTGTCGTAAACGTAAACGGAAGAGCTAGACTAACATTTAGTACAAGAAATAAAGTTGTCTTATTTAAAAATATGTTTCTTCCAAATATAACAGAAAAAAACAAATGGAGCCCAGAACAATGCTTAAATTTTATATTTTGTGGCAATCTAGACTTGCCAAATCATTCTAGACTTGAGTCTTTAGGGTTTCGGGGACAGACTACGGAAGAGCTAGTCCTGCACCATGACCGTGGAATATATTTATTTTATGAAAAAATAATAATCTAGAAATGCATACAAAAGCAAGTCTAGCCATCTCAAGCTAGCTCTATTCCAAAATCTGAAATCAGCATAGAGAATTGTTTTTATTTTTAGAGTCAAGAAGGATATTGTGTAATATAAGATTTCAGAGACTAAATGTTAGTCTACGGAAGAGCTTGCAGTGCTCGTTAAATAACGTAAAAGGGTAACAGTTTTGATAATGTTTTCTGTAAATGTCCATGGAACTGTAGATTTTGCGTGTTACCTTATTGCCATACCAACCGTCACTGATCACACCTGGGAGAGGATATAACAGTATGAAGGCTAGACTGTCTCACAGTTCCTGAACCATATTATGTCCCCCCCCCCCCCCCCCCCCCCCCCGCCAGCCCTTACTGTAATGCTATAGCCCCAAATGAAGCAAGTCTAGATTTTCCACTGGTTCTGAATTTCCCATCTCACTTGGGACCCTCTTCAATTTAAATGTTGTTTGTTTCTATCTAAATCATATATTTTCAGATACTTAACGTAGTCTATATTAAGGCATGTGTGGGATTGCGGCACATCCACGTCCTTATCATTTGTGACTGTAGTTATAATAGTGACTGTGACTGTAGACTCTCATAATAGTGAAACTAATATGATTGTGCGCATATACATTCAATGACTACTGGGGCGGTCGGGTGCCTAGTGGTTAAATTTCAGTAAATATGTTCATTTGAGAGACTAGGGTTAGTCTAGCAGTGGTACTATTACTTGTGTTAATCTTTCTTTCTGAAAAATCTCCTTAGGGGTGAAGGGGTGTGATTCATGCAGTTATTTATCCGACATGGAACTGTGCCCCCAGGGAGGCCGTTGTGGCACGTGAGCTAGCCTGCCAAGAGGTTAAAACCTATTCAATCTGTTGAGGGTATGTTATGATTGAGATGAGATAAAATAAATCGATATGTCACGTGCAGAGGATATGCGAATGCGAATGTTGTTGGGTGCCGCATTCAGATATTCATATATCCAGCTGTTTAACGGGACACGTTGAGAATGGCACCAGCTACGATCAACGCCGCTGGGGTATAATGACACACAATGGGCCAGGTCATACATTGTAACCATCCAATCCTCATTACGATCAACTCTCACAACAATGAGTGAGTGAGTGAGTGACGGGAATGTTTCTTACAAACCAATGCTTATGTGTTTCTGGCACGCCTATTTAAAGGGACGCAAATCGGCACAGCTCATTGTGGGACGGTAGGGCCGTCCGTGCTTATGCTCTTACGACAGTCATAGGGATTTATTCTGGCCCGGATCCTAATGACACTCTCCTATTGGCAGTATGTCTCCGTACAACAGTGTCAACGGAAAACCCATCTTCTTTACTCACGACTTGATCAGCCACGCTTTGTCAATGAAGCTTAATTGCAATCCAGTAGACGATGCCATTACAGCTCGCCTCTTAAGTGGTTCATTATCACGCATTAGTGTCCAACAATGGCTGCATGATTACATTTGTTTAAGCTGGTAATTCCGATGTAAGCATGCGTGTATTTATTAGCTTCACTTGTATGTTACTGATGATATTATCAGCTCAATGGTAGACCGATGGCGATACTTAATAATGGACCAATTATCTTGAATTTGAAGATATCAGCCTGAACGCCCGAGATAAGCTTATTCGCAATGAGCAGACTGAAATTGATTGAAACGTTAATAAAATATATAAAAGATTCCAGACGCCCTTTTAGTGGTGAGCCTACAGGTTACACACAACCAAATGTTTTCCCATAGACTTCTATAGTAACGTTGATACTTATATATTTTTTTAAAATAACTAAGCATTCAACAGCTATTACCTGTACGTGTGTGCACAGTTTGGCCTTAGAGCAGCAATAAAAAAATAAAAAATGACTAGCTTAGCCAGCTCCTTTTCCGAGTACAGGAAGCTAAACACACCACCCCCAGTTTCGCACCAAATGTCACCTACTTGAAAATAGCTGTGGTCACATTCAGCATAAGTCATCATGTTGAAAAAGACAGTACTAAATATAGAAAAAACATGGTCAGTTTTAATAACTGGATGGATGTACATTTGAAAGATATAAAATCTTACAGATTATCCTCCAATCACAGCCTGCAGATATCTCTCGATCTGCACTGAAGGCTCCTACGAAACCTAAAACCGCACTGTCCAAACTGGTTCTGATTTGGTGTAGTAGAACCTCAACCTTCCATTCCCCTGCACACGACCAGAAGGCAATGCTCACAACTGCATGTGCCAAGGAAGGTTATGTTAACTGCAGCTGTGTGGAAGGTGATGTTAACAACTACAGGTGTGTGTGGGGGGGTGATGTTAACAACTACAGGTGTGTGGAAGGTGATGTTAACAACAGGTGTGTGGAAGGTGATGTTAACAACTACAGGTGTGTGTGGGGGGGTGATGTTAACAACTACAGGTGTGTGGAAGGTGATGTTAACAACTACAGGTGTGTGGAAGGTGATGTTAACAACTACAGCTGTGTGGAAGGTGATGTTAACAACTACAGGTGTGTGTGTGGGGGGTGATGTTAACAACTACAGGTGTGTGAAAGGTGATGTTAACAACAACAGGTGTGTGGAAGGTGATGTTAACAACTACAGGTGTGTGGAAGGTGATGTTAACAACAACAGGTGTGTGGAAGGTGATGTTAACAACTACAGGTGTGTGGAAGGTGATGTTAACAACTACAGGTGTGTGGAAGGTGATGTTAACAACAACAGGTGTGTGGAAGGTGATGTTAACAACTACAGGTGTGTGGAAGGTGATGTTAACAACAACAGGTGTGTGGAAGGTGATGTTAACAACAACAGGTGTGTGGAAGGTGATGTTAACAACAACAGGTGTGTGGAAGGTGATGTTAACAACTACAGGTGTGTGGAAGGTGATGTTAACAACTACAGGTGTGTGGGGGGTGATGTTAACAACTACAGGTGTGTGGGGGGTGATGTTAACAACTACAGGTGTGTGGAAGGTGATGATAACAACTACAGGTGTGTGAAAGGTGATGTTAACAACAACAGGTGTGTGGGGGGTGATGTTAACAACTACAGGTGTGTGAAAGGTGATGTTAACAACAACAGGTGTGTGGAAGGTGATGATAACAACTACAGGTGTGTGGAAGGTGATGTTAACAACAACAGGTGTGTGGAAGGTGATGTTAGCATGTATCTGGCTGAAGTTAGTTTGGCTTAACACTGCAGTGAATATATATCAGTTATATACACAGTATGTCAGCTTCATGTGAAAAGGAAGTCTGAAGAATTCAAACACATGATCCTGGTGTGGCTAAGGGGCACAACTCTGCATATCTGGCATGACATGCCTAAGGTGAGCTGACGGTTGAGAAAACAATGCAGCAACAGTTAAATTCAGCTAAAAACATCATAAAGTCTGTTTCAGTGTCTGTTCAAAAATATTTAACAACAAACTCATTTCATATTTCAATATTTTATTCCATGTAAGTATCACACAAAATTGCGCACTAGGCATGGTACATAACAAAATAATAACAAGAAATAAATATCAGGTATGGTAAAATAATACCAGCTAGGAATCATCCATACGCTACAATCTGTCAAAACCATATCTACCTAGCATCATGTTGATGACATATAAACTCAATCTTTTATCACGCAGACATCTTACCATTTGTATCTGTACATGATGTGCCCCTTGTTTGTATCAGTACAGACCCACTGGCGTGTCCCTTGTTTGTATCTGTACAGACCCACTGATGTCCCCCTTGTTTGTATCTGAACAGACCCACTGATGTGCCCCTTGTTCGTATCTGTACATGATGTGCCCCTTGTTTGTATCTGTACAGACCCACTGATGTCCCCCTTGTTTGTAACTGTACATGATGTGCCCCTTGTTTGTATCTGTACAGACCCACTGATGTGCCCCTTGTTTGTATCTGTACAGACCCACTGATGTGCCCCTTGTTTGTATCTGTACAGACCCACTGATGTGCCCCTTGTTTGTATCTGTACAGACCCACTGATGTGCCCCTTGTTTGTATCTGTACAGACCCACTGATGTGCCCCTTGTTTGTATCTGTACAGACCCACTGATGTGCCCCTTGTTTGTATCTGTACAGACCCACTGATGTCTCCCTTGTTTGTATCTGTACAGACCCACTGATGTGCCCCTTGTTTGTATCTGTACAGACCCACTGAAGTACCCCTTGTTTGTATCTGTACAGACCCACTGATGTGCCCCTTGTTTGTATCTGTACAGACCCACTGATGTCTCCCTTGTTTGTATCTGTACAGACCCACTGATGTGCCCCTTGTTTGTATCTGTACAGACCCACTGAAGTACCCCTTGTTTGTATCTGTACAGACCAACTGATGTCCCCCTTGTTTGTATCTGTACAGACCCACTGATGTGCCCCTTGTTTGTATCTGTACAGACCCACTGATGTCTCCCTTGTTTGTATCTGTACAGACCCACTGAAGTACCCCTTGTTTGTATCTGTACAGACCCACTGATGTCTCCCTTGTTTGTATCTGTACAGACCAACTGATGTCCCCCTTGTTTGTATCCGTACAGACCCACTGATGTGCCCCTTGTTTGTATCTGTACAGACCCACTGATGTGCCCCTTGTTTGTATCGCCAGTGACATGTGGCCCACTTAATCTGACTTCCCCTCTACTCCTACTTGGATGAGATGTCACAGGGATGCCATGATATACACAGACATACAGAGGGGCATACCCACAGTAAAAACAGCAAAGAGGAACTTTTCACAGCATACAATTGGAACAAAGACACAGCATGTCTGAACCAAATTAAGTAAACATTACAAAGTTGTTTGGTAGTGATTGTCTGATCATGAACAGATTACCACCAGATTTAGGTACTTAAACACTAAACTTGCCAAATATGGACAGCAAAGATAGGTTTAGGTCCACAATAAACTTAAAATCGCCTTTGGAAAAACCTTAAAAGCACAATCAATATTATATTCATATTATTCCATAAGTTATTTTTCAACAATTGCTAAGAGAAATATAAAAAAAATATTTCATTCTTCAAAACCTATGTTGACACAAAAATGTCTATCCTCTCTTCGGGGAATAAGACCAGACGAAAAGTAACCAACTTGTCGTCTATTCATGTTTTGTTAATGAAAACCAAGAACCATGTTATCCAAATATTTGTAAATTCATGTCTTCCAACTTCTAAATGCCTATCAAAGACTACCAAGAACTGATTAACACTAATCTCACAACTTTCTAAAATCTACTAAAATGGTAATATCATGCATGGTCCAACTTGATTTTTCAAAACACAATACAAATACTTCAGCACTGTGTTAACATGAGTAATCTGATAGGAGGCATTGTATTATGTTATTCTACACTACTAGGTTCAGCCTCTTAATCACCTTTATATTCCTGTATCACAGATATCTTGCATCCTCCAACTATATTTCCAGCTAGAACTAGGATCTTAAACTATAAATGTAGAAAAGCATACATATTATTACATATCATTTAGGAAAGTCTTTTTAAAACATGAACCACTTATCAACACACATTGGTAGCAACAAACACTGATGCCGTTCCACACAATCGTGATATGTTCATATATTTATGACATAAGAATCTAAAGGCTATAAACCACAAGAACATCATTCAACAACATAGAGATGAGCATGAAACATTTCAAACAGAATTTCATCCTCTATATCTCCAGGGCTCGCATTTCAGTAAACCTAAACCAACCCCTGGATCTCAAATTACCCTCCCTTGATCTTCATCAACATTTCATCAACATTTCATCAACCAATCAACAATATGGAAAAAGGACATGCCACCCTCAGTCTTAATGGACATAAAGACATCCTTTCCATCAAAATGATCTTTGAAGGCTTTCTTTTGCGTGTCAGTCAGTTTTTCAAAGTCGAATTTCTTGCAAACTCTATTTGACTGCCATGTTGTAGATATTGCCAATCCAACATTGAGGATGGTTTTTAATTCTCATACATACTGGTCCGTTAGACTATGTAGCTTAATCAAAATGGCTGATGAAAATCAAGGGCGGGTAATTTGAGATTGTATGAACCACAGGAATGGATCCAGGGGTTAGTGTAGGTTTACTGAAATGAGAGAGTGTTGAGCCCGTTCCAAAGAGCGATCTTAGCGCTAGAATGATCGTAAGTCTATGTTAGAATATGGGGGATACGATCGCTGTAGTGCCTTGTTTGCTGTGGAACAGTCTCTGAATCCATAAACTGAGACAAATGATGTGACAACAATCATCCATGTGGAGTCTCACTTCTAGAGTGAGAGAGTGAGTTTTGTTTAATGCAAAGTTGCACAGTACTTCAGATATATCACGGTGTGTCAGCTTGATGTGGGAGGAAAGCCAAAGTGATGCAGGTCTCAAACGTTTACCACTTTGGTGAAACCCATGAGTATGGTAATCATGGTAATGACAAACCTAGAAAGATAATCAGGGAGAATCTGGGATGTGAAGCAAACTCATAAGGTTTCTGGCCTATGTAACGCAAGTCTGCACAGCGAATTGCTGCAACTTAGACGACTGGGCCACCAATGCCCCCTGAAAAAGCAGAGTTCAAAATCAGAGTTACCTAGCTCCCTTGACTGTACTGCAACAAGTGAGAAAGAAAGTATATGTTATATCTGAAAAAATTCAAAAGTGATATCAATTTCAATAACATAACACAAAACATGCTTGATTTTGAATCAGTGTGTTTTTAACATTCCTAATCACAAAATCAATTGTGAATGTGAGAATTGGCTTCAACACTGCAGAGGAGGTAACTCTGCACCATGATGGCATGCCCTGACACACTACAAAGGTGCTATATAGCACACATAACCATAAGCAAGGTAAGGATAGATGTAAGATTTAAGGGTGTTAAGGCATTCTATTCTAACTTGTTATTACTTGTTCTACATCGTTCCTTCTCAAACTGTGTGAATACAATTGGACAAAATAAGAGCAACACTCTGTCTTCATCATATCAATAGCGACATGTGAGCCAAATATTAAAATCATACAAATCCTGAGATCAAACGCCACGATGTAACAGAGAGATGATGTAATGGAGATGATATAACAGAGAGACAATGAACAGCATTCTGTCACAAGAGTTCTACAACAAATAACACACACATCTAGCAAACATCTAACTACAAACTCTGATGAGTAGGAGAAAACCAACTTCAATACCACGTCTCAAAACCCACCCATAATCAACTACCTAAATAGTATGACACACATTTGACATTTCCTCCTTTTTTCTCAGCATCATAAAAGTCAATATGCGACCAGACCCTGGTCTGTTTTTCGTTCGTGTCTGCAACATGAGTGTTAAAGAATGAAGATGGGAGTTATCTTCCCTGATCAAATACTTGCATCCATCTATACCTAACCTGTGCCTGAGTACCCATCAGGATACTAGTCAACTTTATTTTCCTTCTATGAACTCAACAACTAGTTCCACTGATGCAAATTATCTTCCCTGATCTAGTGCTCGAGTCCATCTATACTTAACCTGTGCTTGAGTACCTGTCAGAATACTAGTCAACTTCATTTTCCTTCTATGAACTCAACAACTAGTTCCACTGATGTGAATTATCTTCCCTGATCAAGTGCTCGAGTCCATCTATACCTAACCTGTGCTTGAGTTCCCATCAGAATACTAGTCAACATTATTTTCCTTCTATGAACTCAACAACTAGTTCTGTGGATGTGAGTTATCTTCCCTGATCGAGTGCTCGAGTCCATCTAAACCTAACATCAACAACTAGTCCACTGAAACTCTCACCAATATGCAAAACAACTGAACACACTAGGATGAACCCGATTACCGGTAGTCTGCTGCAGATACACCAGACCCTGCTATCACCAAACCATCCTCCTGATCAACATCTTGCCCAGCGTTCAAAGCTTCTAATGGCAGTAAAACATCACCTTACAACACTTCAGTGGAGTTATCAGTTGTCAGTAACAGACAAGTGTGCACAGTACAGCCTCTACAGCTTGCACTACAGGTCATCATCATGATCATCTGTCACAAAACATCCACAAATATCACAGAGAATTGTGTCACATAAAAAATCTTTAGCAAAAACAAGTTGGTTGCCAAAATTATTCAAAAACTTATCATTCCAAAAGTGCTGTCATTTTGGTAGAATAATCTGATTTAACATGTATTTATAGCTAAAATGGATAGAATTATCATTAAACCGCCCGCATGTTATCAGAAAGCAGCGGGCCACTGTAACTTGATAATGCCCTCATACTGCTTGACAACGGTCCATTATCACGCACGTTGTTAGGTGACGTCATAGGGTAGGGATAGGTGACATCACGTTCAATAGTGACATCATCTGGTTTGTACTATAACGTTTCTATATCTGTAAAAGTGGGTCAGTGACATTTGTGTTGATGGCAGTAAATGTTTCAAAACTGATATTGGTGTTTCTTTTTATTTGATAACAAATTCCATCCATTTTTGCTATAATAATGGTAACACTCTTTTTCAGGGCATTATCATTTGCTGAAGCCCTAGGTCTTTTCAACTGCCCTCCTTTGTCAAACAGTTAATGGAAGACCTCAGGCTTCTGCAAATGATAATGCTCTGAAAAATAGCGTGACCCATGGACTACAAAAGATTCTGGCATTCTGTCTTTCATTATTGTTCATTATAAAAGAATTCAGAATTCAAGATTCAGGAATGATGTGAAGCAGACATAGATGTAAAGTAGACTACTGACAGTGTACAGGAAAGGTCTGGTACTATGTCAAGTAAGAAATGTTCTTTCATAAGAAACATACATCTAGAAAGAGTTACATATTATTTTCCATGATAAATATATTATTTTGAATAATGTAGCCTACCCCTAACAAACTATTGCACTACATATTACTAGAAACATAACAGCAATACACTTGCGTTGTCATGGCCGTTAAAGACAATCTCCACAGTTTGGTGCCCATGTCTTGTCCAGATCAATTAGTGCCCTGTGTCAAATTTGACCATTTTCATTGTGCAATTAGGATAATCATTAACTGCATATTGACCCTCATGATACAGGTTAAGCCTTAAGTTCAAAAAATCAAAGTGGTGTTTGAACGACTTGAATCTACCTTGCTTGGACTACCAGTTTGTCGTATCCTTGTCCTAGTTTAACATGCGATCAGCCCAACCTCACTGAAAACAGATGTTTTATGCCAATATGATATCTCTCTGCGTTAGGATCTGAGGTCACCCCATAGAAGTTTGTGTCAGGAGAACGCTGCGCAACAGGGTGTATAGAAAAAAGCTTGTTCTTATTTATGTACATTCTGGAAAGGTTGTTTAAGATCGTTTTTGAGATACCAAAATCCTTTGTGCTGTTCTCAATGCTTCGCTCACTAGTACTACAAATTCAGAAGCCTCAATGCTGGTCAGCTGATCAAAAGATTTACTTGAAGCATCCTTCTGCTGAGGTGTCCTCAGATCTTTATGCAAAGAGATTGTGATGAGACATCAGAAAACTTTTATCATTTTTCATGAAAAGAATTGCTGTCTGTTAACCAGCCACATCAACAATGCAAATGAGAAACTTACTCATTTTTTATACATACATTGTTCTATATAAGGTAATCATTTTGGCGATTCCCACAAATACTTGAATTAATACCAGGATTGGAACTTGGACATCTCATAACATGTATAACGATGACTGCAATAATATGGAAGATCAAATTATCTTGGCAGGTGTCAAATGAATAAAAGTCACCCTCACATTTCCCCTCAGATCTTTGCATACCAACATCCCATTCTGAACACCACAGCAATCACAGGTATCCTTCAACATTTTAAAACACATTCCCACACTCTTAGCCCAGTCTAACAAGCTACCATTACAGTCGTTCAAATAACAACACATATGTCCATGGGCCTCTGGTCAACAACATAGGTGAAGTGGTGTTTCATGCAGTGATTCATGGCGACGGTGTTCTAAGCTGGACAGCTTAACTCAGGCCACAGGCGTATTCTTGTAAGATCTGATGAGGTCTCGCTTTCGGCTCCGATTGGAAGCACTGTAGCACACACTATCACATAGTACTCCGTTGGTATTTTCATGCCAGATTAAAAGTATGCTTCCATTTTGTCTAGAGGCACTCTAGATAGTCACACAGTCCATATCCACATGGTCCACATCCTTAGTGCACTGCTGCTGTCTTGAATGTCACTCAATACAACATCACACTGTTCACCTGTGGCCACCATCAGTCAAGAGAGCAGCTCCATATCACAAGTCTACTTGAGACATTACATGAGTTCAGGGGCCCCTGCGCCAAGAATCTGTCTTGAGAGCCACTCCAGCCCATCACACAGACCACCCCAGACATTACATGAGTTCAGGGGCCCCTGTGCCCAGCATCTGTCTAGAGAGCCACTCCAGCCCATCACACAGACCACCCCAGACATTACATGAGTTCAGGGGCCCCTGTGCCCAGCATCTGTCTAGAGAGCCACTCCAGCCCATCACACAGTCCGCTCCAGATTTTACGCAAGTTCAGGGGCCCCTGCAGCCACCAACTGTCTTGAGAGCCACTCAAGCCCATCACACAGTCCACTCCAGATTTTACGCAAGTTCAGGGGCCCCTGCAGCCACCATCTGTCTAGAGAGCCACTCCAGCCCATCACAAAGTCCATACCCGCTCTTGGCATCACATGCCTGGATGTGCCAGCTCCTGTTACAGCAAAGCTTGAACAAACCAAACTGCTCAGTTATCTCCTCTATAGTCACACATCCTTCAATGTCCTGAAATACAAACACCATTTCAGAACAGACTACAATAGCCTAAAACCTACACATTGATAAATACTGTTTAAAGCCATCGTATGAAATATTCAAGCAACATTACAGCAGCTTTCAATAATCTTTTCTGGACAAGCAAAATGATTTGCTCTTGAGTTCTGATGTCACACAAACCAGGTCTCAATTCATAACAACCTGATTGTCATTTGTTTTCTGCCAAACTATGGGCATAGGGGTAACGGGGGCCTAGTCTGGCCAGCATCCCATAGGGTTAACTTTTCGTTGTTGTTGTTTGTTTGTTTTACGCCAGTCACAATATTCCAGCAATATCATTGTGGAATGAATAAAACTGAGTCTTCTCCAGACAAACAAATAGTTGATATGAGCTATGTGTTATGCCGTTGTAAAATAACATGCATCAACCAAGTTAGTGAGCCTGACCACCCATTCCATTCGGTAGGTAGTGACCTACTCTCACCCCGGTCCCATTGGGGTAAATAGATAAGTTCTACCCCTACATTAACAGTGCCTGAAGCCCCTCTCAGCACTCACCCGTTTATTAACACTGCCTGAAGCCCCTCTCAGCACTCACCTGTTTATTAACACTGCCTGAAGCCCCTCTCAGCACTCACCTGTTTATTAACACTGCCTGAAGCCCCTCTCAGCACTCACCTGTTTATTAACAGTGCCTGAAGCCCCTCTCAGTACTCACCCGTTTATTAACAGTGCCTGAAGCCCCTCTCAGTACTCACCCGTTTATTAACAGTTCGTGAAGCCCCTCTCAGCACTCACCTGTTTATTAACAGTGCCTGAAGCCCCTCTCAGCACTCACCTGTTTATTAACACTGCCTGAAGCCCCTCTCAGCACTCACCCGTTTATTAACAGTGCCTGAAGACCCTCTCAGCACTCACCTGTTTATTAACAGTGCCAGAAGCCCCTCTCAGCACTCACCCGTTTATTAACACTGCCTGAAGCCCCTCTCAGCACTCACCTGTTTATTAACACTGCCTGAAGCCCCTCGCAGCACTCACCTGTTTATTAACACTGCCTGAAGCCCCTCTCAGCACTCACCCGTTTATTAACACTGCCTGAAGCCCCTCTCAGCACTCACCTGTTTATTAACAGTGCCTGAAGCCCCTCTCAGCACTCACCTGTTTATTAACAGTGCCTGAAGCCCCTCTCAGCACTCACCTGTTTGCTGGCGAAGATGAGCAGTGAAGCCTCCTTCAGTTCCTTCTCCTGGACCAGTTTAGCCAATTCACTGTGGGCCTCTGACAGACGCTCCTTGTTGCTGCTGTCAACCACATAGATCACAGCTGCGAACACAGACAATCAGTTTTATACAAGCCATCAATATTACACTGTTCAAGTAAAAAAAGCTGTACAGCTTCTTGTTGCTGCTGTCCACCATGTTGATAGTAGTTGCAAACCAAATATTGCACTTCTAAACTGCACACTTACCTTGAGTATTAAAGAAGTAGTGTTTCCAGAGAGGTCGGATCTTATGCTGCCCTCCCACGTCCCAGATGGTGAACTTGAAGTTCTTGTATTCAACAGTCTCAACATTAAAACCTGTGACAACAGACATAACTTCATAATTCCAAATCAAGTCATTATTCAAAGAAAAACACATGTGAAATTTCATGATGCAAATCTGGCATAACCATTAGGCATAATCACTTTTACCAGTAAGAAGTTGTTTTTTACAAAAACATCACGGGCCCACCCACCTTAAAGGATTTCAAATGGTCGACCCCTTAACAGCTATGACAACGATCATTAACATACCTATTGTAGGTATGGTCTGTATGAACTCATTCTGTTTCAGCTTGAAGAGTAGGCTAGTCTTCCCTGCTGCATCCAGGCCTAGCGTCACTACCCTCATCTCTATCTTGGGCCCGATGTGCACTCGGTTATCCTGAAGGGCAAACAGTCTTACAGCATACTATACAAAATTAAATAATAACACAAAATTAAACATTCTGCTTGTGTAAAGATAAAATATACCCGAACCTGCTATTAAGCAATTTAATTAATGATAAACAGTTTCATTTAAACATGCTTAATTTTCTGCCTTTTCATTTCTCTATCCATCCATTGTAATCTGAGTAATGTAAACATGTGGCCGTGGATTAGTAATTTAGCATTGATATTCATATACAGCATTGACATTAAATATTTACCGAGATATCCATATCGCAATGTACGATGACATCCCTACCAAAACTGAATTTTTGTTTCATAAAGGAAAGAAATTTTGAAAGATTTTGTGAGTACACTTAAGAATTGACCTTCACTTTGTGTGAGTTCATTGGAGTATGAACCTTCATAGAGTGAGGACCAAACTGTATAATCATGTAAACGTCAAATTAAAAATTTATTTCCCTTTAGTATTCTAGTTATGTCACGGACACCTGCAAACAATCAAGTAGGACAAACCAGTGAACGAAACCATGAGCAATCATCCACGTCATCGGGACACAATAGTTGTCTGAATAAGAGTTATGTCATCACAATTAATGGCCCATTAGAATCAAATCCGTCTTAAAGTGTTGGTCAACTTCAGCATGGCACCCACCTTGGTGAATGTGATGGGAATGGTTGGGTCGAGAGCCAGCTGGTCTGGGAGATCCAGGAACTGCTGTTGCTGTTTCTGTATTGTGTCCAGTAAGTTATTCACATCTGGCTTGGCCAGCAACACCTTGGTGTCGTCCTGAAAGGTAAAATGTCTACTATGGGCAGATTGGTTTGGCATGTCATTGATATATATTACCTCAAAATTGTAGATTTTACATTTAATTGTATATTTATATATACTTATCCCATGTCACACTATATATTTCTTCTTTCTTCTTTCAATCCTTCTTTGAAAAAGTGTTTGAACAAAGTTTCCAGCTTCTAAAAACAATTTACCCAAACACATCCCAGCATCACCATGGTCACCACCCAAACAAATGGGCCATGAACGACTGTGAATAGCAATCCATTCAGCATACGACTTATTATCGATCTGGAAGGGTCTCCAGTCAATCGATTCATCGAGACAGACCACACCACTATCTCTGACGGACAATTGGGTGAGCCAGCTCAGCAACTCTTTAACAATGCATCAATCATGCCTGAGGGATTGAACCATGCACAGACGTGAAAAGGAACGATCAACAATAACCATAAGAGAATCTACAAACCAAATCTGATGTGTCACATACACAGGGCAGAAGTGGGTAGGTAAGGGCTGAGGACACCGCCAAAACGGTTGCGCCTTGTGGCGACTACAATGTTGGAGACCAGAGTCTCTACAGACTAGATGTTTCACACTCCAGTGACTACTCAGTCTGGGAGCCCGAATAATAAAGACAATAAACACAGGAGCCATATTCCAAGATTTATTCTGCATGTACAGGATACGGAGTACTGAGTAGGAGGTGCGGGTTCTATCTGCGCTGGTGTGCATTCATCAGCTGTTACGCCAGGACCAAGGAACTGTACTGGTGGAGGCCCTGAATATTGGTGATGGAGATGTCACATTGATAATGGGAAGCAAAGACAGTATTTGACTTCCAAAAGCATCCCTCCACAATGCAGACAAGGAGAGTTGATCACATGGATTGGATTCACAGGTGGAGGCAATCTTGTGAAGGCGTAGGCTCGCAGAATAGTCGAACAAAGCCAAATGGAGACTGTAGTACGGGAGATTTCTGTTGTGGCCACCATAGAAAGGGGGATGAAGCGTCTCTTGCGGGTGCACCATTTGTTCTCGCAGCCTCGGCGTAGATACGGAGCGCTCTAACCGGGCAAAAAGATATATCCTTCATGGTCATCTGGGCCCAGAATGGATGCCAGCAATGGATGGTCCCAGAAGCTGATTCTTCGCGATGAAGTCCAAGTGAAGGCCCAGAAAGACCTTCCCATTCTGTAAACGCACAAACTGGACCCTGTTGACATTCAAAGATGGATTTCACTCACTCTAGCAGCAGTTGCAAGGGCCAGGAGAAAAAATGTCTAAAAGGTGATCAACTTGAAGTCATATCAGAGAGCGGTTCATACGCTGGAAGAGAGATGACTGATCATCCAACTTGTAGGGCCCTATGAGGGACTGTGTGTAGCTCAGCAACCGTAAAGATCTTTGATCGAGTTGTAGTGGCAATGAGGGAGTTGATTACAGGGAGATAGGTAGCCAAAGTGGACCATTAAAACTGTGAGTACATTGCAAATGTAAGAGATATTTGGCGACTTGTTCAAGAGAAGCGGTGGTCGGCTAGGTGTCACAAGCTTGACAGTAGGCTTTGAATGCTTTCCATTGATGGTCACATAGGGTCTTGGTAGTAGTACTCTCTTCGGTACCCTTTGGAGACAAGCGACTTCTGAAGATGCTAAGATGGAGGGTTTCAGGCAATTGCTGTAGCAGGTGGGAATGAGGCTGGAACAGAAGATTATCCAGCTGCGGAAGATGGTGGAACTTTCTTTCTGCGAGCTGTACCAGCGCTGTGAACAAACTGCTCAGAAGTGTTTACAGGAGTGTTCATAAGATGTTGGTATCTACGTGTGTGAGATCACAATCCTCTACAAGAGAGGCAGTCAAAGAGCACATGGGGCAATGAATCGCAAGATCACCATCTAGTTCGAGAGCTATGGCTGCAGAAGACAATCGTTAAGTTGAAGCGAGGAGTCATGTAATGTAGTCATTCATGTCATTGGTGGAAAGAAGCAAAGGTCTTGTTGAGATTAGTAGCTACATCAGAAAGCATAGGCCTAGGAGGCAGCATGATGGTAGAGGAACAAGCGGTTGGAACGACGTAACAGGCCAGCCGATCATCCAGTGTACGACGATAACGGCAGGGTCGATGTTGTCGAAGCTCCCCGTAGATGAAGCCGGAACATCCTGAGGAACAGGAGCTGTGGAACCAGTAGGAACAACTTGTGTGGGACTCTGCATAGACGAGGAGGTACAATCCACTCTGTAGGGCAGAGCCTGTAGGCAGCAGCTGTGGATGGAGGGATCCCCCGTAGTAGGAGTCAGTACATTCGGGGCAGGTCGCATGCAGACCAGAGAAGATTTGATGGCGACTGAGAATGACTGGGAGAAAGGCGATCCATTTGAGTGCTCACCGGAGATGAGCTCCGACGAGAAGGAGAGGATCAACAATGATTGTCACGATCCTGGGGAGGTGTATAACGGTAGTAGGTAAGCAAGGAGTGGTAGACAGGATAAGGCGATGCAAAAGGGTAGCCATGCATCGAATGAAATGGATCCCTCTACTGTTAAGACAATGATCCCAAGACGAATAATGAAATTCCTGCCGATGAGGGTTAGAGTCAGAAGAACAGGTACACTCCTGGCGACAACAACAATCTGTATGACCTGTAGACAGGGAGGGATACCAAGTTGACAAATTATCAGCCGAATCCATAGAACAGTCATCCTTCTGAAAGGCAACGATCATCATGGCGAGCAGGAGTGGTATGTGATGAATCGATAGCGTCAGTTTGGGATTGTTGATCCCGAGAAGGGCGATCCTCCAGGCGTCAATTGTGTGAATGCAGCAATCTGTCTAACAGGAACGTTGATCCTTAGTGTGTATATTCTAGGAGCGTTGATTCTTGATATTGTCAATCCTGATTGTGTCAATCCACCGATCATCGATCCTTGGAATGGCGATTCTTAGATGAAGAATGGCGATCCCTGGCAGAATGCAATCTCGGCTACAGCAATCCTTGTGAAAGGTAGAGTACCAATGAGTGTGATCATCAAGAGACGAAGTTGATTGAGGAACGGCTGTATCCTTAGACGAATAGGAGCGCTTGCAGCAGTAGAAACTAACAGTTTCAGTCCACTAGTCCTTATAATGATAACATATAGCAAAACCCCTAAAAATTGCAAATGTCTACTAGTCCTTATGATACCTTTACTATAAGGCAGTTTTGCGAGGGCTACAGGACTAGTACCAATTTCTAACGCTGGCTTGACGATGACAGGAACATCACGTGAAGGAGTGGGGGACGATAATAGACTAGTAGCTGGCTCTCTTTGAACGCTAGGAGGGTCGACTGGTGACGCTGTTAAAGCTGGTTTAGACGAGATATCTGCAGAGAGAACCATGCATACATCTGAGGTGGCTGGTTGAACCAACGTAGGTGTGGACACGGACGCACTGGGGACAGACTTTTGAATCAGTACAGTGGAAGTTGGAGAGGGACAGTCGGCTTGATGGCCCTCTTGGCTCTCTTCGCAGAGAACAGCCCATCTGCCATGTTTTTGTCTGTTAATAATCGAGTCTGGGACAGACAATCCAGTTATTGACATCATGAGCATCATTCTATGCAATTGGGATACAATGACGTGCATTAACCAAGACAGGGTGCCTGACACCCCGATCCCGTTAGTCGCCTCTTACGACAAGCATAGTTGCCTTTTACGGCAGGCATGTGTTGATGAAAACCTATTCTACCCTGGATCTTCACAGGTCCAGAGAATGATGTGGCAGGGGTAGTCATATAATGATAATATTTGTGTGGGTCGCTATGCACAGGATTACAGTGTGTGACACATTTATCTGGATGGTGACCATGGTGATGCCGGGGTGTGTTTGGGTGAATTGTTTTCAGAAGCTGGAAGCACAGAAGGATCAAAAGAAGAAAAAAGAAATACATAGTGTGACATAGGATAAGTTTAAAAATACATTATTTTAGGTTTGAACCACCTAAGTCACAGATTTAGCATATATATATTTTCCCCGCTGATAGACATAACCAGACAAACACATGAGTGAAGTGTGTACCTGTTGCAGCGCCCCCTCACACTGGTGACAGACGGAGGAGATCTGGGAGAGCAGCATCGTCATGTCCTCCTGCTGCTGCCGGAGCATGCACAGCTTCTCCCGGATGTGGGTGTCCACTGCCGTCAGAGCTGCAATCTCTTGCCGGTTCAAGTTCTCACGCAGATCATGGAAGTACTGCTTAATCTTCAGACGAGACTGCTCAGCGGTACCAGGAATCTGTCAACACAGATTAATACTGACAACTGGAAACTGATCAATTTATTGAAATGTAATATAGAGAAGCACAGGACTCTTTAGCACAAAATTAACATCGCTTACTACATTGGAAACATATATGAAGGCTATACTTTAATGTAAGGGCACATCAACAAATTTACACTGTTAATATGTTACTACACAAACCAGGTATAATGAATTTCCCAAGCATACAAATGAAACACCTAAGTAGTAGGTACTTAAGAAATAAATGCCTCGTGTATCATACAAGAAAACACTACACGGAGAATAAACCTTAAGGGTGCAATCGTTTGTTTCTGATATGAGATATCAACATTTTGTACAGCCTCTTGTACAGCCGCTTTTAGCAATATTCCATCAATATCACGGTGGGAGACACCAGAAATGGGCTTCACATATCGTACACATGTGGGGAATCGAACCCGGGTCTTCAGCGTGATGAGTGAACGCTTTAACCACTAGGCTACCCCATCACCTGTCAGACTCTAAAAGGATGTTAATAAAATTACAAACTTTTAGAACATATTTACCTGTATCTAAATTATGATACAATCCAACCCCAGGAGTGTTTGACAAATCTGATTTATGAACAGGGGGGTTAAGTTCGGCATTTCCTGTATATTCTCACAATTTTCACGTTGATTATCTGTACCTTTTCTCCCATTCCCACTCATCATATGCAATCATTTTTGCCATTGCGTTCATATACACAGCCTAGCTACATCTATGGGGAACAACTCACTAGATACTTCCATCTCAAACCAGTGTCGTCCAATTTACAATCATCAAGTTGCAAGCGCAAGTTTGAATCTCCAGAAATGATGTCACAAAAGAGTAATGTATTATTGTGAAATAAATCATGCTTCGTTCTTCATTGTTCTTTGGGATTTATTGCGTAGCTTTCTTATATTAGGCAAATAAGACATTTTCACTGCAACTAGGATGCTTAAAATAGATCAGATATTCTGTGAGCACTTTCCAGGATCACTACAATCTCATTAAAAACAGATCTTAGTCCTAACTACCACCAAACAAAGATCTAAGGACATCCCATTGTGCTGTATAGCTTGAGAAAGCTGCGTTCTGATTGGTTAATGTCAACTTCTTTTAGTCATGTCATTGGTCGGTCAAAGTACACTCATTATGATGTGACCTGTAATGGAATGTCCTCAGATCTTTATTTAGAGTAAGCGATAACGAAGATATGATTTCACTCATCTCATTAAAATCAGATCTTAGTTCTCGCTGTCGCTAAACAAAGATCTGAGGACATCCCATTAAGGGTCACATCAGAACGACCTTTCATCCAACCAATCAGAGCGTCGCTTACCAGATCATGAACGTGACAGTCAGAATGTGTTTTCTAATCATGCAACCACAAAATATTTAAAACGGGGTATTCCGAATGACAGTTACGGGTTTTATGATTATATCCATACAATCTAGGCCATCTATAAGCCATTCCAGAATATTCTTCTTATCAGTTGAAATTTTTTTAATCAAGAATACGTCAAAATATGTTTCGAAGCGAAGTCGCCAGTTTGAAACTAGTGTCGTAAAGCTCGAGAAAGCTGCCTTCTGATTGGCTAATGTCGATTTCTTGTTGGTCATTTCATTGGTCGGTCAAAATTCGCGAAAGGTCGTTCTGACGTGACCCGTAATGGGATGTCCTCAGATCTTTGTTTAGCGGTAGCGAAAACTAAGATCTTATTTTAATGAGATTGGATTTCACTGACATTGGGACTTAATATTCTAGTAATATTATGGTGATGGAACACCTGAAATGGGCTTTAAACATTGTACCCACGCAGTGAATTGAACATGAGCCTTCAGCATGATGTTTGTTTGTTGGTTAATGGCGCACATAGCAATATTCCAGCGATATGATGGCGGTCTGTAAAGAAATGAGTCTGGACTAGACAATCCAGTGACTGACGTCATGAGCATCGATCAACTCATTTGGGATACGATGACCTGCATCAACAAAGACAGCAAGTCTGACAACCCGATCCCGTTAGCAGCCTCTTACGACAAGCATGGGTTGCTGAAGAGCTTTTCTAACCCGGATCTTCATGGGTCTTCAACATGATGAGCTAACCCTGAGGCTCCTCTATTGTTCAGTGAGTAATTTATGGAGTCTCATGCAGCCAGAATATAAAAATGATATCACTAAACACTTCTTATCATGATAATAAAACAAAAGTATGAACAAAAGCATAATATCATCTTTCTTGCAACACTTTTGAAAATTTTAGCCTTTGCTCATATGTTACATCTGTAAAATATAAAATAAGTTTGTCTGGTCTAATCAAGGTTGGAACATGTTGAATGGAGGGTAAGAGTACTAAAAGAAAACTAAAGGAGGACCCCACCTGTTGTGTGGAGGAACTGCCATCAGTTGACGTGATCACATGCAGGCCCCCCTCGATGTGCTGGATGACGGACCCCAACTTCCTGGCAGACTCCGCTACCTCCTCGGCAAACGATCGGATTCTCTGCACGGCGCTGATGATGGAAGATCTCACACTCTCCGCCTCATTCTCCAAGAGAGCATGCTGGGAAAACAGATTTCTCTTGATGAATTATGAATACAGATAAACAAAGAGCAAAGATGTTTCTTCAGAAAAAGATGTCCTGGGCAGTAGGGGTTACAATGATACAGCAAGATCACGTTACAATATGTGTCACGACACACATTTACGTCAAATCGCTTGGACATTTCTTGACTATAAATATTTCAAAGCAGGTTCAAAAGGAAAAGCTTGCGACTATTTTATATGTGAATTTGAAACGCTTATTACAACACATTTTTCAATATTTGAAAAAAAGCTGAAGGGGTCATAATGTGAGTAGTAATTAATTCATTTTAGCAAGTGTATTGTCTTGAATCAAAACAGTAAAAAATGTATTGTATCGTCACATGAAAACCAGTGCACCACTGTATCGTTTCAACCCTACTCGGCAGACATAAACACATGACATGATGAGCTCATGGATCATTAGGGACCGACCATTTAATATTCTGGTTGGGTGAGGCTGGGATTTTGTATCGTGATTAGATATTTTTTCGGCTAGAGCTACAAAACCAGATACTTATTAATTTAAAACTGTGAGCCTGAACTTTGTTTTGAGAGTGGCTGGCAATTTTTGAAGCATAATTATTTTCTTCAAAAACTTTAGGGACAATTTATGTTTTCGATAACATCCCTTATCCAAATAAAAAAAAACCTTCCCAGAGTGTGACACCTTCGTCATCCTCCTGTTATCATTGTTATCACCAGGGAAGCATTTCCCTCTAACCCCAAATGTAGTGACATCTATTTTCTTGTGTATGTCTTTGGGAATATCATTCTAGTAAAATGGGATAACATTTACAACTTACAATTTTCCAGATGAATTTAGGTATATTTTTCAAATCAGATTGGTTCAAGATTGCTGATTAACAGAAAAGTATAACTCCCCCTTGCATTCTCATTAAACTAATTGCATGATAATTGAAATGAAATAGTAATTCAAATTAAACAAACAAAATAAATTAGCTGGGGCAAGAGAAATCGGCATCATGACAGACATCACTTGTTTGTAAACGTAATGTTGTAGCACAGTCGGGAGCTGTGACTGGTGGCTGCGATAGCATAGGGATCTCTGCGAAGGGGCTATTCCTGAGAGGAGGAGCTTCTTATTCAAACAGCTAAGGGAAGCAACTCTGCATGATACATTGCATAAATATGATAAACATTAAAAGGAACAAGATTTCGCACAACTTATATTCAAGTTCTAGTTTAAATTCATACTTATATCATACTGTAAATCGTGAAAAGAATGCGACCTCTGGCCCCTAACCAAAATTGCGACTCAATATGAATGCGATGCCCCTCTCCTCTCAAGCATCAGTAAATTTATATCTAAAGAAAATGTCCTCTGTCAGGTTTACAGGAGACTCCTCACCTTAAACCAACCTTACATTAATCTAATCACACACCAAATAGCACCGCTTATTAGAGCTTAGTAGAGTACTTCCGCTAAAACAATACATGCGGACTGGCTCGTGTCGGCCTTTGATGCAGTCGCAAAGAACAAAGACACTGTGTTGCGTGGGTGGCGTCTGTCTGGACTTGCATGTTTGATCAGTGATGACATAAGTAAGATAATTCACAGGATATAAGTAGTGTTTGAATGACATTGTTTATGTACTTGTTTAAGTGCTGCTCAATGAACAGTGATAGTTGTTCGTTCTCAGCATATGTCTAGTTGGTATTTTTGCTATCCAAAATGTCTTATTGTTGATATAAACGCAATGTTTAATAATGCCAGCAAAGTCCACTCGCATTTGTCGCATTTAATTCATGCTCGCATTAATTTCAAGATTTACAGTATATACAGAAGTTTTACCTTGTGTTTGGTGTGCCTGCCATAATCTTTACATATGTAGCACATCAGGGGTGTTGTCTTGCATTCCTCTTCCAGGCAGGCAAACTCAACGAGGTGCATTGGATGAAACACACACTTAGGGTTCTCTCTGGGCTTCTCTGATATTGGCACTCGTTTATGTCTGGCCAGTGTCCGTGTGGAGTGGGATGTTTCCGAGCAGTCCAGACACAGATGGGTGCTGCACACAATACAGAAGATGACCGCTGTGTGGTGCTCATTCTCATCACAGGGAATTGCAAACTGGAAGCAAGCAAAGAACTGAGTGAAACTGTAGTAATTGGAAAGTTTGTTACCGACACCAAGAATGAGCTTCACACATTGTACACATGGGGAATCGAACCTAGATGTTTGGCATGACACGGAAATGCTTTAACCACCAAGCTACCCCATCTCATCTTAAACTTCTTTAACTTGATTTATCATTGAAGACATCTTTGTATATTCATTATTTCATTTTAAAACATGAAAAACAAAATCAGATTTATTGCACAGCTTTGAAAAACGAATAAAATATGGTGAATTAGCCATAATAGTAGTGGCCATGGAGAAATAATGCTGTATGGAGATCAGAAATGAGAGTATTAAGAAATTATGTTCACTATCTCAATCAGTACTGATAACATAGAAGTTTGGGATTAGCATTACATAAAGAACTTGACACAAAAACAATTTTTACAGCTTACATCATTTACAACACATTGTTACATGAAAACTTACAAAATAGTCTTCTGATGTTGGCTGCAACATAGTCAGCTGATACATGATAGTAGGAGTGTGAAAGAATGCAAACCTAGAAATTCATTGTGAACATGGTAAACCATTTAGACATGTTAGACAGATGAAAAAAACTAAGCTTTCTTTGAAATTTCGAGTGTACTAATCATGTTCAATTCACTACCCCAGTAATTTTGACAAGCATTTATAACACTGTTGACAGGCAAGTCATTTGAAATAATAATGTAAAAATACAAACCCCTTCCTCTCGGTTCAGAGCTCTTTCTGAAATGGCCCAGTTCTGGCTCTGTTTAGGATATTGGATTTTTTCCAGCAGTTCAAGTAGAGCAAAGTTTTTCTTCAGTCCCCACACACCAGAATCTCCAATCTCTGTTGGCTGCCGATCAAATGGACATAATACAGACCGACCATGGAGTGGTAGGCGAGTGAGACACTGGTGACAGCATGTGTGGCCACAGACCAACAATCGTGGTACCTTGTCACCTTGGAAACGGAAAACTTCATTGCAGACCCTGCACTCACTCGTCTGAAATCAAAATTAACATTCTCATCAGCAAAAATATTTCATTTATTCTTGAAACAAAAGTGCATGTTCCTTTACTCACTTTACACAGTTTTGAGTGAGTGAGCGAGCGACTTGGGTTTTACCCAATTTGGAACAGTTCTGTTAAATCCGAGCCGACCAGTCCTTGTTTTAGTCCCTTAATGCTGAGCACCAGGCAGGGTAACAACAAGTACCATCTTTTGGTATGACGCTGTAATTGTACAGATATTTGATTCATTATTAAAAGATGTGAGATACTAACTCACAGCTAACCTAAAGGATGGTAAACATGGTAAATGGGGAGCAAACCCGAAGGATCCTAAGTAAAGGTGTGTTTGATTGGCAAGGGGTACCTAACCCTAGTCATGCTAATATTCGTAAATGGGTACTTGATCAGAAAGAGGGTCGGTGGTCCAAGGGCTAAGGATAGAGTTGGGGGTAACCTACCCCATGAAGTGCCCATGCCTACCCTCACCCTAACACAACTGACCCTAATGATGTGCGATCAGTGAAGCCTACATCCCCAGCCCATTTGCCCTATATTAGCAGCGCCCGGTAAATTGATGTTTTGCGAATCTATGCAGAAGCTACCCATAGATATCGAATAGTGAAAACGGAACAGTACGTATGCCTATTGTATATAACCATAGGTACCGGCAGCAGACCTGCAGGCTAACTGAATCCATCGAAATTCTCCAAAATGGTCCGTTTAACAACGATTTCGCAGCTACGACGTCTGACATTCACAATGTTTATAAATATTCACCTGTCAAAATCAGGTATGACAACCTTCTCTTTTGCTAAAAACACAAATACTTGTCTACTGTGCATCTAATCATTAGTAGTTTGAACGTACATTTTCTGGTTCACTCTGATTCAGAGGGGTTGTCACACTGACAGTATTATAGATCCTCTGGCCACCAGACGCCATGTTGGAAGTTTACGTTCTCCGCAGTGACGTATATTTCCATGTAATCTTAGACAAATCGTCAAAATATATCTTATATGGCTCCACATAAAAGATATCGCTCCTCAAATGGTGAATAATTCTGTAACTTTTAATACTAATCAATTATCAAATTTAAAATCGTAAGTTTACAAAACCGGAAGTAGTGCCCGTTCTGTGCGGAGCTGTATTTCAAGCAATCATGGAGGGCGGAAGAGAACGAGAACAGTTGTTGGCATTGAAAGGTAGGTGTATTTATAAGCTTCTGTTTAATATATGAACACAATCATTGATGTATGGTGCACATCGAAGACATACAATTGTGCTCCCTTAATATGACAATAACATGACAAGTAGTTTTGTTTATTTTGCCACACAACTGTTCGCATCAGTCGTTCCTTGGGAACTGTAGCAGTCGACGTTTGCTAGCAGACGAATATTTTTCTGTTTTCTGTGAACGCTTTTTCTGTAACATAGATATGTCATCTGCCAAAGATATTATCCCGAACGCATGCTTCTTCTTATTGAAGTAAGGTGTGAAAGTTTGTCTCTTTGAAGATCAGAGCTGCTGAAATTACCCTACCCGTTCAATGGCTCAGCATAATGTTTGATTTCAGGAAGATAAATGCTTCACACGGATAAGTCAGTGCATGCATTGTAGGTGCATGTATGTCACTCTGTTTTAGAATTGTTAGTGGAATTCAAAATAACCTTTCAGCAGAAATCATCTTATATATTATCATTGAGTGTCCTGATTTAGAATGACACCTTTTTTCTTACAGCTATATTGATCATGATTTAGCAAGTTCTAATGAGAGGTATAACATCATCAAAGCTGCAGACTTCACAGTGCACACATCCAACCTGTCAATGTTGGGTTCATGTGATGTACTGTACACCTATCAGAACAGTCTGTTGTCATATATATACTCACATGCAAAAGAAACGCAAGTCGAGTATGCAGTATACATGTTATTTATTTTCACAAGTAAAGACAAGAAATACTAATAGGGCAAGATTGACAAAAATTTGACTGAAGACAGTTTAATGGATTAAAAGGCAGATGACATAATTGTTTTTTTTCAAATGTTAAGGGCTTACACAGTTTCGGGTCAATATCCAAAATGTCAGTCAATACCTGGTGTGACCACCATTAGCATTGATCACTGCCACACATCTCCTGTACATTGAGTGAATCAGACGATTTGTGAAGGCCCTAGGGATCCTCCTGCACACATCCAGAGCAGCTGTGCGTAGTTCATCAGCAGTTGTAGGGACTGGGCGCACATTGTGCAGACTCCTTTGAACCTCATCCCACAAGTGTTCAATGGGGTTCAGATCAGGGCTGAGGGCTGGCCACGGTAGAACACGGATGTTGTGTTATTGCAGAAAGGCCATGGTAGCTCTGGCAACATGGGGACGAGCATTGTCCTGCTCGAAAATGTGTTGCTGATGTTGAGCAAAAAATTGAACAACGTGGGGTCTGATCACTTGGTCGATACACTGCTGAGCAGTGACACCGTGTCCCCAACCTTGACCAACATTCAGAAAGCACATGGGTCCAAGTCTCGCATTCAGTCCAATCCCTGCCTATATCATGATGCTAGGTCCACCCCATGGATCCCTTTCCACAACGTTTCTGTCAGCGAAACGATCACCTTGATGCCGCCAAATTCTGACTCTTCCGTCTGCATGGGAGACACAAAAGCGACTTTCATCAGAGAAGATGACACGCCTCCACTCACGATGACGCCAATTGTGATGACCCTGTGCCCACTGAAGTCGTGCTTGTCGATGCCGTGGTTGGAGAACAGGAGAGGTGTGGTGACCCTAGGACGACCGCTCCGAGGAAGGTCATCTGTGGTCTGTGTATCATTGTAGGAGACGGTAAATTGTGGTTATGTTAACGTTGAAATGACAGGCAACATCTTGGACAGACTCTCCAGCTTCCAAATGTCCGATAGCCTGGTTTCTCTGAATTTGAGTTAGGTGTGGCATTGTTGACCAAGGAGTGGTAGGTCCAAGAATCGGCCACAGTTTTATACCCACGACAGTTCTTGACAGTTCGTGCATTTTCGATTTTGCAAGAAATGGGTGCCTGATACCCACATATTCATTGAAATGGTGCGTTTTTGGGATTTCGTTTTTTATGTTGCGTTTTTAGTCGGGGCTTCCAAAATGCAACCAAAAATATTGATAACACCATCAGGCTTCACTACATGCTAAAACTCGTATCAATTTATGGTTCCATGTTTGTTACCTATTTGCTTGAAACCACTTGCGTTTCTTTTGCATGTGAGTATATTTCACATTTGTTTGAGAAACAATATACGATGTGACAATTTGTTTCACTCATACATGGTTTCTAACTCTTACATGTCTAAGATGCATGTAATCAGGACAATAACCACATCATCAACATTTAACAGGACCAATTTTACTCTTGTTTTCAGATAAGCCTTTCCTTCCAGGGTTAGATTTAAACTCAAAACAGTTACTAGTAAAGATAAAATGCCCTTGTAATGTTAAAACAATGGGGATATTGAGAAGTTTTTACTAGCCCACGGGAATTTGTACCAGCCCCGGGCTAGCATGCTAGTGTTAAGTTCTAAACCTGCCTTGATTTTGTTTGATAAAAACAATTAGTGCCAAGAAGTTAAAATATGATAACTAATCTATAAATATTGAAATTACATCTAAATAAAAAATAGATGTATTACAATTTATAATACAATAACTAGTGTAAAGAAATAAATCAGGAAGGCTAACTAAACAAAAGAAATAAAAATAATAAGTGAATTCTTATGTTTACATGGAATGTTTGTTTCCCCCTGACTGACATACTAAAGTTAACCCAAAAATTGTTTGTTATCCTGTCACTTTGCAGATTGATAATCTGTTAGACAAGAATTGAAATAGGCCTGGCCTTCCTTAAATATACATTCTTAATTATAGGGCTGGCTAAAAAGATCAATAATCCAAATTATCATCGATGGGAAGAAATATTAACGATTCTTGATATGAAATTGTTATCATCAATAATAACTTACATAAAATATTGTGATGAAATAAAGTTTAGATTTACCGAAACAGACTTGTTATTGTCAATAATGTCAGTTGTCGAAGACAGAAAGCAAGTGTTTTTGTTATATCTCAAATGTCCACCTTTATTATTTCCATGCATAAATGTGTCACTGCTCACCAGTGGCATGTAATGTGTTGATTTCTATCAGGTCTTTCTTGCTTATTTGCTTAAAGTTACCTCTCTGATGTTTATCTATATTTGATCGATATTAGCGATTATCGATCTCTATAATCTATATCGAAAGCCAGCCCAATTTAATAACCATAGTTTTGACTAGAACGAGGTAAGTGCTTCTTTGTATGTTGATTGATGTTGATTATGAATGTATGATAAACTGTTCCAAATTTCAGAATGCACCTCTTCATTCATGTGTTGAATCTGTTGTTCATTTAAAGATGCAATATGACATTGTAGACATATCCGTAATGTTTTTACGTAACATTTGTTACTAATTGTAACATAATGCCTACACTGTGAGTTATGATGATGAGGCACAGACTCATGCATTGAAACATGTATACAGAAAATGACATGGAACTGGTTATATAGATGGAGAAAACAGGTGCTTGTGACTTATGATAATCAGACAGGTGCAAACTTACATGATGGCAGTTTGCCTGAGCCTAGTCAGTCAGTCAGTGTTTTTCCTGTAAACTTCAAAATGTCATGTACATTTATTTGGTCAAGCCATCATAAATGAAGCATGAAGCCAAGAATTATTGACTTACAGTAAAAGTGTTAATATGATTTAAACCTCAAAACTGAACACAACACAGAAATATTATTCAAAAATAGAAATTCCATAGTGGTGTGCGGCAACTCTCATCAGTGACATCCATTGGGGCCAAATTTCAACAAATATGTACCAGTAGTTTTATCAGCTAAACTAAAAATGACATGAGCTTTGAAAATATGTGTTTCAAGTTGTTGTGTAGGGGGCAAGCCTTCTCAACCCCGTTGTCATCAAGGGGGTGGCTAAAAAGGGTGGCTAAAATACATAGAATCCATTAAAAAGAAAGGAGCTTGTGCACATTCCTTACTAATATGACAGAAGGTATACAGTAAATATTCATATTTTAGTCCAAGAATTACAACAGGTTGCTTAATTATTGTGCAAACTACTTTGAGTGAAAGTGAATGTGTTCTGAACCATGACCTTCTTTATATCATTATGTGATGACATTACAATGTCATGGCCATGATAACATGATTATGACATCATCCTTGAAATGGTGATGCATGCTGAAAACTAAATAAGTAGCAAAGCAACATCGGGAAATTATTTGTTATTGTAAAGAAGGTAAAGTAAAGCGGCCTGCCAGTTTATCTGAATTCACAGTGAAGTGGTCAAGTGAAAGATCAAGTGGTACTGTGCAGCTTTTGTTTCTTCAGTGACCAACTTCTGGATTGTCAAATACACGGTCAATGTGACAAATGAAAATTTGCATCTGTGGACTATATGGTGAAATTATTAATTTATGATTGCTATCTATTTTCGATCTTTAAACAGGACCCAAATACATTGTTGTTGTTGTTGTTGTTGTTGTTGTTGTAGATCTTCTGGATATGAGTTTGATTTCTGTACTTATTTTCTCATTGATCCTGGTATACCGTAATTGGCCAAATTTCAAGATTTCTGGGCCTGATGGGATAACACTAAGTAACCATGGTAACAGGTACACACTGTATGTGAACATGGCGAATACAGGACTCATGAATGCTGGGACTTTGATATGGTAACCCAGCTTCTGATGCTTCACAATGGAATTGTTGAGAGCCAGTGGCTGTGAAATCTATGCCTTACCGACAGCCTATGAAATAGGTATATGTCTTCAGCAAAACAATTATATGTCATTTTCTTCTTCTCTGTAGAAGCATAAGTTGGCTGAATCTGTGAGCACACAGAACTATCCCAGCTTC